ATGTATCTATTGATGCATTTTTCCTTCCTGCTTTATTGGCAGTTGGGCTCCAAAACACAAAGGTGGGCTGTTCAATAAACAGTACAACGCAAGTCATCCCAATTAATTGGTTTGTACCATTTATGCTGCTACTCCCTCCAATTAAACACAAGGGAGTGCAAGTGACAGGCACAAGTAAGACAGGCACGCAGAAAACCATATTCTAATGCAGAAGCTGTGATAAGAAAATGGAATCTATGTACCTGACAGGAATATTAATGCAAAACCTTGACCTATCGTTTTTCTTTCTTCAGTCTGAGAGAGCTAGCAACAATTGCAGCTCATTAAAACGGACCATGTCCTGCCAGTCATGCATAATGCCCATTTTCTGCAAGTCTTGTGATCTATTATCATAGAGATGCATGGTCCTGCATGGCTAGGAACAGGGATTGCAGCCAACCTTGAAGACCTATTCTCTCTTCTAAACCCACTGTCACGAGAGAAAGCAAGAGGAAAAACAACCAAGACGAACTCAAAAGTGAGTGTTCGGACTGGACCTCTGGAGTTCATCTGGACCAACCCCTTGTTCAAAGCAGGGCCAGCTTCAAAGTTAAATTCAGTTTGTTAGTTAGTTCAGGTAGCTCAGTGTAGAGTATTTCCAAGGACAGAGATTTTACAGCCTCTCTGGGCACCATGTTCCAATGCTGCCTTGTTAGGGCTCACTCTGGAAGCCACTCACCACATCACAACAGCATCTGGCTCTACTTTCTTAACTGTTTTCTTGATGCAAAGTGTGTTGTTGGCATGTTGGATGCAGTAAGTAACACTAGGGAAGTGATACCATCATGCAAAGACAATTCTTCTGCAAGGAAAAGAGATTTGAAAAGAGTCCTACACAAGACAGGGTGATAAGGAAGGCACTATGATATATTATTCTGTGTTTGGTGCTGCTTTTCTATAAGGCACTGCCAGAGCTGTTTTGGAAGATGGAGTGACCAAAGTGTTGTCCAGTTTGGGCTTGGTATTTGGCACAGACTTGAGACGTCAGCTATGGGAAAGCAGCAGATGCAATAGCATCTCTCTTTCTTCAGCAGTGAGGTTTGTATCCCTCTCCAGAGGCATCTCTCCCTCCCTTCACTCCCTAAGGAGAGAGCCAAAGGCAACAAGCTTCCTAGCCCTGACACCTCTGATATGTGTGAAAATGGATGGGTTGAATGCAGGCCTAAAAATATTTTACATTCTCACAGTAGTTTCACAGCCCTGGTATTATCAAATGATCTTCCAGTGTACTTGGAAACAGGAGAATAACTTGAGATGGAGTCTGGCTTTTTTGTGTCTGTATACTTGCAAACTGTCTCTGCCTACACATCTTACAGGGCCTGTGCCTGTTCGGATATACACATGGAAAACCAGTGGTTGTGATGACGCTGTGTCTGCTCCATTCCTCCCCTTCCTGAAGTTTAGAGGCTGCTCAAAGCAGGTCCTGTGTGGTTAAACTCAAACTTGACCTATGCACTGTGCTCCACTGACCAGGCTAGTTAGGAACTCGAGGCTAGGAAGCACAAGACAATTTTAAAATCTGAATAAAAGTAGGAGATTAAGGAAACCAGCTGGAAACCTCTATTTTGCTAATTTTGAAAGCAAAATGTGGGTCACAGATGTGCTTCCACAGACAGAAACTGGCTAAAGAAGAAAAAGACATCAGCAGTGCCCAGAGTCTTTGATGATCAGAGGTAGATATAGCTCCTAGGCATGGATGCAAGAAAGAAAGAGATGAAGTAGGAATAAAAACATAATCAAGAGATTAGGAATGTGGAACTCAACCCACCCATAAATTTGCCTTAGGGAATGATGAAAAATGCAGTAACGAAAAAAGATGAAACCAACTGCTCCGTCTTACTCTGTTCCCTTCTCTTGCTGTCCTTATGGTTTTACTATTCGGAGTCCAAGACACAGGAAGCCCATTACAGAACCTCCCCTCTTCCTCAGCCATGTTTTTTCTTTGCAAAAATGCTGTTTTCTACTGTTCCTTTGCAGTAGCTATGAAATCCTTGCTAGGGACAGGCTGACTTTAAAAGAAGCAAAGCTTTGCAGGGAAGCCTACATCAGTAGGCAGGTGTGCATGGGAGAGTAGAAAGCAATGCACTCCTGCCCATCTTTGATAGAAGGGCCAGTACTCACTTCTTGTTTAGGCTAATACAAAATATTACATCTATTGTCAGTGAAATTAGTGCTAGACTAGAATGAGCCATGCTGCTAGCTCTGGCAGGCTGTTGATTAGCCTGTGACTTGGTCTCCCAGGAGCTGTAACAGCCCTGTTGTTTGATCCATTAATAAAACCTCAAGGTAAAGCACTGGAAGAGCAATGTGGGACAACAGCAGTACTGACCCGGAGAAGCCCACGTGGCGGTTCCTTACAAATAGCCAGGTAGTGGAGTGGGTTCTGAAAAGCAGTCAGTGGATGGTTTCTGGGGTGAAGTGCCTGGACCACTCCTGAAGGTCGCACCTATGCTGGCCATGACAGGACTTGGTCACTTGGTGCCTCTGGGCTTTGTGACATGTACTGAGCAGCTGTGGAGTGCTATATCTGGCTCCTGCAGCAAGCTTCCCTCCTGCCAGCAAAACACCAGACCCTATGGCTTAACACCAAGAGAAGCCTGAAGTAAGAGTGATGCTAGTCCAGTTTTTCAGACTTTTGTGAAATTCAGATTCAGTTCTTGTCTGGAATTTAGTTTTCTCAGCCTCAACTGAAAACACATTTTGTAGTTGCTAGTGTTTTAAATCACATATCAGTGTCAATAAAGATAAGCCCTTTCCCAGGGGGGAGGTGGAAGACGGGGGGAAATATAGAAAAATGTACCAAATCTTTCACTCATGCAGGAAAAAAACAACTCCAAAGCATTGAAGGATTAAATGAGAAATACGCCTCTTTTCACTGGAGTCCACTGGGTGTGAATAAATGCCAACTGAGCTCTCACTTGCATCACCATCTGGTGAGATAGCACCAAGGCCTCGAGGTGCAGCAGGACACGTTACACTGCCCTGCCCTGGGACAGCATCTCTGCTCCTGGTCAAGGAACCACCAGAGGCTCCTAAATGGCAGCAGGTCCCTAAATGTGAAGGAATTTATTATCTTCAGCTTCATCATCTGCCCTAGCCCAGAGAGAAGAGGTGTCCAGCCACAGTGTACACGACTCAGAGCATAGTGAAGGAGAGGCAGTAGAGCCTTCCCCTGGCAAGAAGGATCCTGCATCCTCCTCCAGATGCAGGGATTTTATTAAAAGACACCAGAATTCCTTTTGCTGGGCTGCAACCACACACTGATATTTCTGTGAATACCATAGCACAGAGCCTCCTTGGTTGATGTCTAGAAACTGCTTGTGGTTTCAGAGCTCTTGCTGATGAATTGCCCAGCAGCTGGTCACACTGGGAGGGCTCTGCTTATTATTTTCAGCTGCTGTCTCACATGGAAGGAAAATCAAAACACTTTCCTGAAGGTAATTGGCTCTAAAACAATTGAAGAATTTTCCACAAGGTTGTAATGCAATTAGGACTGGCATTTTATACAATTTATATCTCTAAAGGTATGTTTATGCCATCAAACCCTTCTTCTGTGAGGTAAAAAAAAATTGCTGGCAAGAGAAGGCTGAGTTTGCTATTACAGGCAATGAAATATAGATGAAACATGAACGTCCACCTAGTAGTGATTAAAAGGCAGCATAACGTCAGGATCAGTACTGAGATGTAGTCACTTGTGGTGAGAAATGGTTGGGTGGGATGCTGTGACACCAACCACACATCTGCAGATTTCCCATTTGGTTTTTGGTCAGTGCCAAGAGATGTGTCATCACCCTCCTGCTGCTGCAGCACCGCAAGAGCAGAAAGAATCTTGCACTCCCCAGCTGCCCTGCCAGCTTCAATGGGAGAAGCTGGTGCAGACTGGGGATGATCAGGCTCATCACATGGAACAAAACCATCAGCCACGCTGGTGCTTGGGTTCATGTTTTGATAGATAGCCAGGAAAACCCTGCACAGTGACGCCAGACAATCAAAAGACACAATAACAACTCCCCAAGTGCATGAGTCAGCTGGTGAACTTGTTGACATGGGGTAATGTGAAAGACAAAAGCATGGATGTAGCACTCCCCTGTCACCATCTGAGGAAGCCTCTATTTCCCTGACTGCCAAAAGGTCCAAGGTATAACTGGGGAAAAGATCTCTCTGTGCTTGCTTGTTCCTTATGCTCATACTTAACCACTGTTAGTGACAACTGCCAAGACACAGTACAGGGCCTTGGGATGCTATGCCTGACTACTACAGCTGCTGCAGTTGAAATTATGGGATGAAAGGCTTTAGCCTCCTTGCCTGGGTGGAGGCAAACAGACTGAAATGATTCTGAGCTGAAACTGGGGAGGCACTTGACACTTCTTCAGAGTCAGAGCAGCCTTTTATGAGCAGACATCCTGTCCTTACGATGGGATGAACCAAAGCCATAGATTTAGACAATCACCATTAGAAAATACCTAATGGTAGAGATGCCACTGACTATATTATGAGAATAACATGATGACACTGTAAAAGCAAAGACATCTCTTACCTCTGGTGGTAATCCAGCTGCCTACCAGTACAGTGTATGACTTACTTACTTAGAAAAGCAAACCCAAGAGATCTACTGCTATACACAGCAGGTGATCACACTTTTCTGTTATCTATCAGACAAATGAAGAAGCCACCAGTCAAGTCCACAAGTTGGTCTGCCTCTGCTCACTAGACCCATATTTGTAGAAACTTACCTTGAGCCGTTTGGGAGTACTTTGAGAACCTGGTCTTGGGGTCACGGACCTGACCCCTGACTGGCCACAGAGGACATGAATGTCCTGCCTGATCTTTTCTGCCCCGCAGCAGACTGTGACACAACACACATCCAGTCTGTAAGCAGAACCGTATTCAGATCCACTGCTATGAGGTCGTTAACTGTAGTTACAACTTCTATGCCAAAGACTATGGACAGGGATACTCACTATTGGGCCGAGTCATTAAGCTGGTACTCTCGGGACCGGTTGAAGCATTCTTGGATCCCAGAGTCTGCCCAGAGTCTCATCATAGCTGACAGCAGCTCTGGAGAGAAGGGCTCTGTGTCCTCCATCCGACTTACAACATCACAGACCATCTTGGCATCAGCCTGCAGAGAAAGAAAAAGAGAGGTCACATAGATGCTTAAGGCAGAACTGGGGGCCAGAGATTTCAGAAACAGTTTATGAAACCACCAGGAGTAAAGAAGCTGCATTTTGCAGCCTTTAGGATCCACATTGTATGATCCAGCAGAAAAAGCAAAAGGAGGATGGAATAAGAAAGCCACAAGGAAAGAGGTTATTTGTGCAATCCACCTCACATCAACAAATACTTCTATTCAGCAGCCAAACCAGTTGGCACTGCGGATGTGTGGAGCTTCTTGGGAACAGAAAGGAAGTCATCTATATACAAGGATATTTTAAGTTGTTAGCAAAGGGACACATATTGTGCAGTGATGCCTGGTTTAACTTTGCTGAAGTAGGGGCCATTTTTATCAAAAAGGAATGCTCCAGAAACAATTTTTTCAGGTGCTGGTTTATTGCTTTTCCTGAATTCTTGTTCTTTGCTCTAAAGAGCAAATTCATGGTAATACTCTATGGTAATGCTCTAAAGGGCTAATTCATGGTAATACTGAACACCTTGGCTGGCTGTCTTGCTTTGTGACTCACAGGGAGAGGAATCTCCCATGGTTAAGGAGTATGGCAGTGAGGGCTGGGCCAGCTGGCCACTTGCAGATGGAATCTTTTTGGGTAGAAAAATGTGATCTGCTGGAACGGCAACTTTTCCTGATGCAACTCAGGTCTGGAAGATGTCTCAGATTTAGGATGGGAACGTCTAGGCAGCCTCAGAACATTGAGTTCAGCCCTACTGTAATAGTCCCCAGTGGCTGATGCTTTCCTTGTTTGCAAAGCAGGACACCCAAATTCCAGCCCCCCTCTGCTTGCTTTGCAGTAAGTGGATCTCACACTCCACACGCCCCAGGCTCCAGGAGCCCCAGGGATGTTGACCAATCTGCAGAGTTTTTCTTTCATGACTTTGGAAATTTTGGAGTAGTCTCGTTTTTCTACCAGCTGAAACAACCCTGATTGTTACTGCTGTAATTAATGGAAAAAGAGGAGATCTTATTTGTTCTGATTTGTTCAGCCTGGAGAAGAGAAGGCTCAGGGGAGCCCTTAGAGCAGCCTTACAATACCTAAAGGGGGCTTACTAGAAGTCTGCAGAGGGACTTTTTACAGGGGCCTGTAGGGACAGGACAAGGAGGAATGGTTTTAAACTGACAGGGGGGAGATTGAGATGAGACCTCAGGAAGAAGGTCTTCCCTGTGAGGGAGGTGAGGCCCTGGCACAGGTTGCCCAGAGAAGCTGTGGCTGCCCCAACCCTGGCAGTGTTCAAGGCCAGGTTGGACACAGGGGCTTGGAGCAACATGGTCTAGTGGAAGGTGTCCCTGCCCATGGCAGGGGGTTGGAACTGGATGAGCTTTAAGATACCTTGCAACCCAAACCATTCTATGATTCCTTGTGCTTGCAGCAAAACAGTGAAGCCAACCTCCATGTTTTACTACCTTTTCTCTTGTCTGAGATCAAACCCATTCTCAGACAAATACAGGTGTAAGTCTTCTCACAAAGGGGAGAGTGAGCAGTACCCATGCTTTGCTGCCACTATCCCATAGACAGTCAACCCCTTTTCATGACAGCAGAAGACACCCACAGCTGAGTATGCAGCTCCTAGGGAGCCTGTGCATTGCCTGCTAGGGACCAGCTCCTACATCCCTCCTGCCTACAACAGGCTCTGTCCTGTTCCTCTGCCCTACCAGGTGCTGCTGCTGCTCCTGGCTCAGAGTTAGCAGCTATGATGGGAACAACCCACTTGCTGAACGGGTTGCTCTCCCTGGGTACTGCCTGAGCACTGGGGACAAGGCATTATAGGTTTTGGGGCAAAGGAAGCAGATTATTTCCTAGGTCATAGGTGCAATTAGAAGTAGAGGAGTGCCAGTGTTGGAGACCACCACATTAATCTAATTGAATGGGTGGGAACAATAAGGTGGATGGCATAGCCTGCATGGACAGGAGCAAAACTCCTCTGCAGCCTTTCTTTACTGAATATTGGAATTGTTAAAAAGTTACAGGGCATCATATTGCTAGCACTGGAGACTGAAGCTGGTGGAGATTTCAGTGCTCAGAAAAAGAGCCTCAAGTCCCCTAAACATCTTTATGGGCTGAAAAAGTCTGTAATGTATGGACACACCATGCCATTAAACTTAACGGGGTGGAGTCTCTATGCTTTGAAGACTTTATGTTCATAAAGTCTTTCTTTCAGAATACTTAACTTTTGGTGCCCCGGATTCCTCCCAGCCCTCTGTACAGACTCTGCTCCTTCTGGAGAAATAGTGTTGATGACTCACACCTCAGAAGAACCTTGAGGAGTTCAGTTAATTTCAAAAGCTTGTTTTCTGCCCCGGAGTGCTTTGTGAGCTCAGTGAATATTCATAAATCATCAGTACAGTTTTCCTGCTCTGCTGGAGCTGATATTCTGCTCTTTTCACAGACTATACATAACACACGACCTGCTAATGGCCAGTCTGCTCGGGACTGTGCTCTGGCATGGCCCCGTTACTTGTGCATGGGTGGTGCACAAAAAGCATCCACGCCTGCATTTAGGTAGGGAGGAGGTCTTTCTTATGTTATCTTGACTGCTGGGGGGGATTACATGCATAAGTCATGGATCTGTCCACCTGTCTGTGATGGCAAAGCACATTTGAAGCTCTCCAGCTGTTATGGGCAGGGCGCAGACTTTTTCTGAGCTTTGCGGATTTAACTGCAGGTTGCTTTCTGCAAAGCATCAGAGGAAACGCCACGGCCATCTCATTTCTGTGCTGGGAAATAGCTGCCTCACCTTTTCCACTGCTGAGACTTGTGCCAGTCCCATGATTTAAAATCCAAAGCAAGAGGGTTTGAGCAGAAGACATGGATGAACAGCAGTGACAGGGCAGAACAGAAATGACCAGGGACAGGCACCTCTGGCTGTGGTTACCAGGTCTGCTTGGGCCAGAAGTGGGGCTGAGCTTGAAGGGTAGGGGGGTATTTTGGTATGTGCTCCTCTGCAGTCACTGGAGATCCCTTCTGGGGATGGGAGAGTTGCCCTCCTGCGCTGCAGGCAGCTGTCTGCAGGGCAGGCTGGAGCAAGGGAATGGCTCACAGGGAAGTTTATTGCTCCTGATCCAGACTTAAGTTTCATCTCGCAGAGTGAACCATTGAAGTCTCAGTTTTACCGACCCAGGAAAAGCAGGTGAGGTGAGTATTTTTGAAAGCACTCCTCCCCCCTGCCAAGGATGAAGCCCCTCTGTCAAGGACCATGGGGCCATCCAGGAGTTCAGGCATTTGTTAGATGATTTAACGAGCAATTAAGGATCCAAGAAGAGAAGATCCCCCTTTCTCTTCTCACTCTCCAGGCTGCATCTCAAGCTGGGAATGACATTAAAATCTCCAGCCCCCCCTGGGCTCAGCAGGTAGATTTTTAAATACTGCCTGATTGACTTTTCCCTTCCCACCTCCCCTGAGTCTGGTGCTCCTGCTTTTCCCAACGTGAGAGGAGCCGAGCCTCCTGCCATGCTCTGCCTCTGTACTCAAGCCAGCAATTAAATAAAGCAAAACAAACCAGACCAAGCAGCCCCCCAACCCTGCCTTGCAGCTCCCATCCGGCAGGGCTGTGATTAATGAATATCACGGTGGTATTTCAGCTACCTCAGGAGCTAAAAATAGGCAGTGTGCTGCCCCTGGGATTGCTGGAAGGAGCTATGAAATTGAGCAGGGCTGCTTCCTTCATTGCTGCCTCTGCCTTTCCCCAGCTGCTCTGTCTCCCATGCCTTGGTACCAGCTGGCTGGGAGGAGGACTAGGAGTTGTGGTGGACAAGGGGATATCTGGTCTCCTTCAGGCTGGTTCTTATCTGGTAGGAGCATCCCAGCCCATCCCCACAGCAATCCCATGCATCCCGCTGCCACTTCCGAATGGCTTGCATTTTCCATAGCAGGACAAACCCTAATGGCGAGCTGATTCAGAGAATCATAGACTGGTTTGGGTTGGAAGATATCTTAAAGCTCATCGATTTCCAACCCCCTGCCATGGGCAGGGACACCTTCCACTAGACCAGGTTGCTCTAAGCCCCTGTGTCCAACCTGGCCTTGAACACTGCCAGGGATGGGGCAGCCACAGCTTCTCTGGGCAGCCTGTGCCAGTGCCTCACCACCCTCACAGGGAAGAACTTCTGCCTCTGGTCTAACCTGAGCTTCCCCTCTTCAAGTTTAAACCCATTACCCTTTGTCCTACCACTACAGTCCCTGATGAAGAGTCCCTCTGCAGCATCCTTATAGGCCCATTCAGACACTGGAAGCTGCTCTGAGGTCTCCACGCAGCTTCTCTTCTCCAGGCTGAACAGCCCTAACTTTCTCAGCCTGTCTTCATACAGGAAGTGCTCCAGCCCCCTGATCCTTTGTTCTTGCTCCAACAGCTCCATGTCCTTCTCATGTTGAGGACACCAGAACTGCACACAGTGCTCCAAGTGGGGTCTCATGAGAGCAGAGTAGAGGGGCAGAATCACCTCCCTTGACTTGCTGGTCACACTGCTGGGGATGCAGCCCAGAACTGATTGCCTTTGGGTTGCTTGTTAGCAGGAGTGGGATATATAGCTCAGTGTCATTCCTGAATGCTGACTGTGTCCACCTACAGTGGGAGAGCTGGAGCTGGCAGGGCAGGGCTGGGCTTGGCTTGGGGAGAAGCTGAGCTTGGAAACCCTGGGATGGCAAATTATACATCCAGGCTTTAGCCATCAAGCTAAAGACCAAATAACCCTGTGTAAAAGAACAACCTCCACGCCAGACAGGGAATGGGGAGGGCTCTGTAGGGCCAAGGCAGAGTGGGAGGTTGTAAGACAATGAAATCCAAAGGCAGATGTGAACAGGTACCTTGTAAACTTAGTGGGAACTCAGCGTGGCTCCTTTCCAACCTGGGGCTCTGCGTCTGCCTTTGCACCAGACACATGGTATAAATCCAGTTCATAAGGGGATCTGTTTCCTCACTAACCTGGACATAACTGCAGTTATTTAATTGTCTCCC